AATTTTGTGTGGTAAGGTACTCACTTGACCTTGGGGGTGAGGGGGTAGTGGGAAGGGGTCTCAGGTAACTTAGAGCCCATAGCCAGCAGGTTGCTGGTAACCTCAGAGGTGCAGCTGCTCTCCTCCGGCCCATGGGTAACCACGTCCACTCACAGCTCTGGACCCAGTCATTTGCTTCCCCCAAGCCAATGCTGGTTAGTTCAGATCTTAACCACCACTTCTTCCCAGCCCCAATGACTGATCCTATAGGCAGTGCTCATCGCCTCTCGAGGGCCATTGGGCATGGTGAGCCGATAAAGGTTTAATGGCAGATTCTGGAGAACAGGTGTTAGATGGAGAGGGAACAAGTCCTGATTGTACACTGGCCACTTTCCCTGGTAGAAGTGAAGCCTCCTCTTGGGGTTGTCTTTAAGTTACCAACATGACACCACTAAATGTGAGTCTGGAAAGAGGTGTGCACAGCTGCCTGCCGTGGAGTGGTATGAGCAGCTCCAGCCCTCCGTGTGCCCTTCGAGGGGTTAGGAGACGCCTGAGGGTCCTTGCACCTCCTGCAATGCTGTCTCAGGGTCATGTCCTGCCTCCAGCTCCTCCTCCCCTCTCCCTTTCCTACCCCTCCCTGTCCCTGCCCCCAGATTGCTTACTGCCCTGGGAGAGGCAGCTGCAGTCAGAGCTCCTTCTGGACTGGCAGGGTCCTGGGGAGCCGCCATCCGTGCCACCTCGTCCTTGAGAGTGAAGGCAGATGTGCGTTCTCGCCACCACCCTCTGTCTTCCCACTTCCTCCCCAGATCCACTTGTAGTTACAGCATCCATCTTTCTACCGTCTTCCTCTCTGTTAGCGACCTGGCTTACATCACAGTCTCCTCACTCCCAAGGTCTCTAAGCCTCCCGGCCAAGTCTTCACAGTAGGTGTACTTTCCTCTGCAACATGAAACCTGTGTCTGATATGAGACTTCCAGAGGATTAGCAGGAGTAAGATGTCTCCATGAAAGACCTTGAGGTCGTCTGTTAGCACTGATCTCCATGTGTGAGGCCCTGCCCTTACATGCTCCTTCAATTAGCTTTATTGTAAGAGGCTGATCCCCACTTTAGAGAGGAGGAAAAGGAAACACCTCGTCCCAGGCCATTTGACTAGGTAGGATTTGAACTCCACCTGACCTTCCAACCCAAGATCTTCCCCTACTGTTGAATTGTGGAGACACACACTTTGGATTTCAAGGCTACCAGAAAACCTCACGGATTCTATGGCAGTTTTGAAAGTGGAAAGAGAGGAACATTGCCTAAGAGGACTTTTTCCTACTTTACTGTCAGGTCCAAAGCACAGGGGGAGGAAGGTGCTGACAGAAATGGCATTGTCCCCATCACTGTCATATGCCCAGTAGCCCTGATGGTCAGTGGCAGCTCTGTTGGAGGGCTGAGTATCTGAAGGATCAGAGATCCCTGGGCACACCTCACCCCACCCCACCCCAAGTACACATTGCTCTATCATCTTGGTCCCCTCCGTTAGGGCACTGTCCGCCCACCTCCAGATGAAGTCTGAACTCTGCTGAACTCTGATACAGGGTCAGGGCATGGTTCAAGTTAGATTGTAAAGAATAACTGTTTGTCCAGCACTGTGCTAGATGTTGTGGGAATTGCAGAACAAAAGCATGTCCGTTCATTGGACAATCACTCATTTAATCTATCCCAGATAGGAGAGAGTAGGAGCAAGAGTGGTTGGGGGCAAGTGGCTGAGCTGTGATGTCAGAAGGGTGCCAGCCTCATGCTATAGTCTGAATAAATTACCTTGGCCATGATTTGGGCACCAGGAAATGCTGTCACTCAGCTCTGGTCTTCTCACAGTGGATAACCTCATTTTAATCAATACATGGTGGGTGGGCATTTAGCCTAACAGTTAGGATGCTCACACCCCTCCCATAGTGGAGTGTCAGGGTTTAGTCCCTAGCAACAGCACCTGGTTCCAGCTTCCTGCTAACACAACCCTAGGAGACAGCAGCGATGGCTGCCATCCATGAAACTCAACTGCCCAGCTCTTGGTTGGGCATTTGGGAAGTGATCCAGTGAAAGTCTCTCTTTCTCTGCCCCTCTCCTTCTCTCTCTCCCTCCCCTTAACTCATTCCTTCTCTTTGCGCATTATGTGTTTGCCTCTCAAATAATCTTCTAAATCAACCCATGTCCTCACCATTGTCCTTCACAAATGCATGCATTGAAAAGCAGACGTACTCCTACCAGAAACTAAACTCTAAACTCCCAGAGCATGTAACACACACAGTCCTCACACAAGAGACACCTAACCAGTCTGTTGTCATTTTTTTCAAAGCCACTGGGAAGAATACTCTGATTTTTGACAGTTAACCAGGTTTTGCTTCTGATCCATCCTTTTGGCCATAACACAAAAGCTGAGAATATTCTAGATTCTGCTGTTGTTCTCATCTCACTTAGCTGAGCAGACCTGTTTTTCTCTACTGCTCACAAAGCATCACCGGAAGCTTCAACTCTGGAGGGCGTGGGGCGGAAGGAAGATGAGGACTGCAGTTCCTGGAAGAAACAGACCACCAACATCCGCAAGACCTTCATCTTCATGGACGTGCTGGGGTCGTAAGTCCTTGGGACAGGGATGCCGGGTGGGCTGGGCTGCTTGCTGAGGGCAGGCTGAAGGGCTGCTCTGGGATCAGCTCCACCCAACTCATGCACTCACCTTCAGTGGCTCCTAAAGACCCGGGAGAATTTTCTGGCTGTGGGGTATGGTATAAATGAGTGTGTCGAGGAGGTGCCTTTGGGATAATACTGGGGCCGCTTGAACTCTGGGGGAATCCCAGCTATTCCCATGGCTTCCCCCTTTATCTGCCCCTTCCTTCCCCTTTTCCCTCCCTCACACCCCCGCCCCTCCCTAACGCTGACAAGCCTTGCCTTCTTTTCATGTATGTGACAATGGGGTGGGGGCGGGGAACCCTACTCTGGGCACCAAAAACAGGAGTTATGGAGCACTTCTGGGTATCTAACTTAGAGCATCCTGGGTCGACTCACGTGGGTTCTGCATTTCCCCTGGCAGGGCACAGGCAAACCCCACTGTGCCCAGATCACACAGACCTGCGGTGGCTCCCATCTCCGTCCTCATACCTGCATCCCTCCTCTCCATTTGGCTATGCTCGATTGTGCTCAAACCCCTCCCAGCCTCTGGGGTGTCTGTACCTGCACCATGATACACATTACCCAGCCAGCAGGCCAGAGACAGCGTGTCCAGAGCTGAGCCTCCACTTAGTCCTGCCTCTCCCCCCAGGAGGGTACAGCCTCTGACGCAGGCTGGCAGCAGCCTCCAAACCCTTGCTGGATGCCTAATTAGTCTGAGCTAATTGGACTTGGGTAGTGAGGAACAGCTAGTGGGCGGCCCGTTTGGGCAAGCTTTCTCTGTGTCCGGTTCTAGATGAGTGGAGCTTTACCCTGCCTGGGCTAGAAGGCAGTGACCTCAGCAGTGACTGCAGACAAAGAGGAGCCAGGCATAGCGGGGAGGAGAGCTCTGCCCGCCCTCCATACCCCACCCCCACCGCAAACCCTGCCCCAGCAGGTTGAGGCTATCCTGGTGGAGCTGGTTGTAGGAGTATCGATCTTCCATCAGGGCTTATGCCAAGACGGGGGTGGCTGGAGAGGGTGATCTGGCAGAAAGGCACACTCAGGAATGAATCATAAATGGCTTGCTAAGCCTCGTAAAAACCCAGAATGGAGAGAAGGAAGCCCAGGTTGGAGGCTTGTTTACTGTTTGCTAAACTCATACTGCAGAATTGTTTAGACAGGTGCCAGTACTCATTCGGGGCTCAAAGAGCCTCTGAACTCAAGCCACCTGTCAGTTTATCCCCTCTAACTTTTAACTGTGAATATGCTGAAACTCAAGGAAGGGGTGACATAAGTATGCAAGGAATACCGTGTCCCATCACCTCGGTTGCCTGTGAGCGTTTCACTGCACAGCTGGCCCTGCTCCTGGGATCCACATCTGTGGATTCAACCCACTATGCCTAAAGGATTTTATAAAACTTACCTCTGCACTGAACATGTACAGAATTTTATTTTCTGTCCCGATTCCCTTAGCAACATAATACAACCGCTGTTTACATGTCTTTGTATTTGATTTTGTAAGTGTGTTAGAGAAGATTTAAAGCATACCAGAAGTTTTACATGGATTCTATTCAAATATGCCAATTTTTTTTTTCAAAAGGCAATCTAATTAATTCATTTGAAGGACAGAGAGCATGCTCTCTCGTCTGCTGGCTCACTTCCCAAGGATCCACAACAGCCGGGGCAAGGACAGGACAAAGCCAGGAGCCAGGAACACAATTCAGGTCTTCCCCATGTGTGTCAGGAACCCAGCTACCTGAGCCAGAGTGGGCATCAGCAGGAAGCAGAGCCATACCCTCCCAGTGCTCCGCTCCACCCCTCTGGCTGCCCCACCCCATCCGCTTTCTGTAGCTCCAGGCTTCCCCCCCCCCCCCATCCCTCCTTACCCCATCACTCCTATAGCAAACATTTCCAACTCTTTCCTGCCCCTCCTCCCCACCCCGGGTTAATCCATTCATCTCTTAAAATTTTGAGTTCTGAGTCATCTTAAGGCAGAGGGCCAAGTATTGTATGCTCCTCCACCATCCCAGGAGTCATTCAATACAAATGTAGCCTCTGTCTGCTGTAATAATAGTGACTTGAATATGTACCGTGGCACCTGCTGGAGTTGCGCAGTGTGCAACATGCCAAACCATCACACAGGCCCTCTCTTCAGTTTCCATTGGTCTGTGCTTTCAGCAGCCATACTTGTCTGAGTGTGTCTGTGCCTCACATTAAATTCAAAGCCAGCCGGTACTAATCACGGTGCCTGCCACGTAGTGCATCTGTAAGTTCACCAGCAGTGAGTAGCTAACAGTATTTTCCAAATCGAATGCTGATTGCCTACTCCTCTGAGTTCCTCCCTGGTCCACAGCCTCCTTGAGAACGGAAACCCTTACCTTGTTATCACCCACCTCTACGACTCAGTAGGTGCTTGGTAAATCTTGGTTGAAGGGCTGAGTGTATGAGTGCCTGAGCAGAGCAGTCTCTGCAGGCTCTGATTAACTCAGTTGCAAACACAGCTGGGGGAAACAGGAAACGCAGACACCGGAAACACCAAGTATTTTCTAATGCAGATTTGTACCGCGTGTTTACTGAAGCTTGTCTGCTTTGGGACATTGTAGGACACCAGATGGCAAGGGAGAGATGGCTCAGCTCTGGGCTTACTTAGATTCTGGCTTTCCTGTCCAACCAGGTTTAGTTTCTGATGGTAATCAAATCCTACCATAATAATGATAATAGCACCAAACACATATGGGTTTTATGGCTGTCAAGAACACTTCCAAACACTTCACGTACAGAACTGAGGTAATCCTCTAAACGGCCCCATGAATCGGATGCTGTTGATCTTCTCACTTTCATAGGAGTGGTTTGTCACCCAAAGGACTGGATTTCTAGCACGAGCAAGCACTCCAGCATCCACTCCTTGTTTTAACTGCTATTCTGGTGGCCCAATTTCAAGAAGACTCTCTTCAAACCAAGAAGCCCATAACTTGGGATTCCACCCTGTATTCCCACTGGGGTCCATCTGCTGTGTCTTCAGAAAGCCTGCCCTGAAGCTGCAGGGTCCTTGCGGATCCTGCTGACTGAATGAGCATTTGCTTCACCTGCCTATCCCCCAACCTTTGGTTCAGTGTAATTATCATTATCTAAAATTGGATGCAGGAGCCTTTTCTCTCTCTGAGCCTTTGCCCATTGCTACCTTGGACTGCTACAGCAATATACTGCACTGTGTTGGAATCAGAACAACATCGACTCCCTTCAATGGGTTTGTTCAATGGAGAAATCTTTCCACAGCCCAAAGCAGAGTCTCGGGGAGTGGGTCATTCTCAGAGTGTAGCATCAGGAATTAGCACCTACCTCACTTCTGAGTCTGTGATGGGGTCTTTTCTTCCCAACTTGAGCTATGAAGGAAAAAAAAAAACATATATAGGTAAGCAGATAGGCCCTGCCCCCACTACAATTCCTACTGCCCACCATTACATTGAGGACTCATTATCAGCCACAGCTTCCTTCACCTACCCATTTGTTTTGCCTCTCAGCAGTTCTCAGCCAACACTGTTTTACCTTTCAATGTCTTCTCCTTAGGGGAGCTTTTTCCGAAGTCTTCCTGGTGAAGCAAAAGGTGACAGGGAAACTCTTTGCCCTGAAGTGCATTAAGAAGTCCCCTGCTTTCCGGGACAGCAGCCTGGAGAATGAGATCGCTGTGTTGAAAAAGTGAGTAGTACCTGGAGTGAGTTGGGTGGAAGTATGGGACGGCGCCAGCTGTTTCTCATTGAGATGAGAAGTCGGCTGGCTCGCTTGGCTCAGTGTAGTCACACAGCTGTTCTCTCTGCCTTTTCCTTTGGGTACCAGTGTGACTCCTGGTCCCACTGGCCATACAGCTGGTCAGTGCACACAGTCCAGGGAGTAACAAAGGAACAATGATCAATCGAAGCCCAATGTCAGCAGGAATCCATGACTAAGCAGGCAGCATACATTTGGAAATCAGGCTCAATTTGTCCAAAGCATTTACAGGCTTGACATCCCAACCATCTTGATGGAGGCTGGATGAAATGTTCACAGAGGGACTCCAGGAAGGCCCTGTGGGACTTACATGGGAAACCTAGTTGTCAGGTGCACAAACACAGGTCCAGGACCACGGGGAGACCAGAAAGGCCTCCCTGCTCTCAGAAGCCCAAGCTTTGCAGGCAGACAAGGGCCCATTACAAACTCCAATCCCACAGTGCGAGTTCTCCCAGCAGGAGACAGAGCCCTGAGGAAACAGGGCTTCATCTGCTCCTGTGTGTGTGTGTTAATGAATGTGGAGTAATAGGATCATTTTCAAGGAAGGGCAATGAGGGAGGAGTAAAAAGGGAAGTAGGAATGGAAAGTCAGCCTGTCAATAAACTTTGGTGTAGGATCCTGGCAGTGCAGGGGCGGTGAGGGAGGAGTGAGCCTTGGAGACCCTTGAACATAGGGTGAGCAGAGTCAAGGCAGGAAATAAAGCTGAAGTGCTGAAATGGGGCCTGATTGTAAAAGAGATCTTAGATGCCATGAAAGAGGACGTCGACTCCATTTTGTGGGAATTCTGAGTAAGGAATCATATGATCGGAGTGGTATTTACAGTCATTTATCTTTTCCTTTTTTTTTTTTTTAAAGATTTATTTATTGGAAAGTCAGGTATACAGAGAGAAGGAGAGACAGAGAGGAAGATCTTCCGTCCGATGATTCACTCCCCAAGTGAGCGCAATGGCCGATGCTGTGACAATCCGAAGCCAGGAGCCAGGAACTTCTTCCAGGTCTCCCACATGGGAGCAGGGTCCCAAGGCCTTGGGCCATCCTCGACTGCTTTCCCAGGCCACAAGCAGGGAGCTGGATGAGAAGTGGAGCTGCCGGGATTAGGACCGGCGCCCATATGGGATCTTGGTGTAAGGTGAGGACTTTAACTCCTAGGCCACGCCGCTGGGCCCCAGTCATTTATCTTGAGCGTAATAGAGAAGGGATTAGAAAACATGCCTGGAGCATGGGAGGCCAATGACAAGTCTGTCACAGAAATCTAGGTGTGGGATGGAGAGAGAAGCAAAAGTACTGGCAGCTCATGTGAGGCTAAAGGACTAGACCCAAGAGCTGCTTTCAAAGGAGGCATGATTGGTTCTGAGGTTAATTAATAAGACTATTAAAACATTTCAAGAGACCTTGAGAGTAAGTGATTAACTAATCAGTAACACTGTCTGGGATAGATACCTAAAGGAATGTGTAGGGCTTGCAGATCATAGAAATTGGCTGGAATGTATAGAATCTAGCTACCCACCTATTTCAACATCGAGGTATCTGGTAGGATGCTGGGATTGACACCAGGACATTAGGACTGACAGAGACTATAAACTCATTGAGATCAAGGACTGTGGGGTCTTTCTTATCATTGCATCCTATCGACAGCAAAGATATTCAATAAATCTTTGTTCAGTGAGTGAATAACCAATAAATTAACGTTAGAATTAACAGCTATGAATGACTCCATCAAGCAACCTCAATAGATCTGTCTTTAAAAAACCATATCTGGATAATTCAATTGGGTAGCTACTATTGATAATGTGTTTTCTATCCCCAGGGGACTGCACTAAGCATTTTTCATACATTATCTCTTTTAATCCTGATATAGTGCCTTGAGAAAGATGTAGTTTTAATTCAAGAAAAATCATGCCAGGAAGATTTAACATAAGCCAACCAAAATTATCCAAATAGTGTCTCAGGCAAATCCAAACCCAAGCCCCGTCGGACTCAAAGCCTAAGCTCTTAGTCTCTAGGTGGCACAGTCAAGAATTTCCTCTTTGTAGCATATATTTACCTGCTGCCTGGAAAGCCAAGCCTCTTGGTTTGTCTGATGATGCTGGCCCAAGTCTACAAGGGCCCCCTGGGGCAGGGTTTCCTAGCCACACCACTGACACCTTAGTTGTACTGGGGGCTGTGCTGTGTTGGGGTGGATGTTTAGCAGGTTTTCTGTCTCCATCCACTAGATGCCAGTAGCATCCCCCGGCCCATGCTCCAATAGTGACAATCAAAAATGTCTGCTGGAAAAGAAATATCCATTTAAGGCACCCCCCAGGACCGACTCTAAAACTAGGCCTGCTGGAACGTTTTCTTTAACACTCCATGGGCACCCAACTGCCGAATCCCTTGTAGAAAAATGCACTTTCTTCGTGTGGTGCTTCTGAAGGAGATCTGGGTACTCTCCTATAGGATAACCCAGTGTTGGGCACTCCCTTAGCATTCCTTGGGTATTTTCCCCTTCTTGCTAACATTAAAGGTTCCCAGAGTAACAATGAAATGTTTGTCTCCCTAAGGCAGGCTGACCACAGATAGACTACCTCGGTGTCTTTTCTAGGGGATCATTTTATGAGCCCCTACTTATTATAAAGGCCTTCTAAGGACCCCATCCCCCAAAACATCGTCATCCACTACCCCTGCCAGAAAATAGTGGGATGAGTCTACATTCCTTATCCGGACACCTGAGTCACACATCTGACACAAGCACATTTACCTTTTTTCCCCAGAATCAAGCATGAGAACATCGTGACCCTGGAGGACATCTATGAAAGCACCACTCACTACTACCTGGTCATGCAGCTGTAAGTGGAAGGTGACCCACTTTCTCCAGAGGGCTGCTGGGGCCTGGGAGGTGGCAGGGGGTTGGGCCACAGGGAGGCTGCTGATAAGGAAACAATGAGTACCAAAATGCAAGGTCAAGAATTAGCCCAAGAGGCTCTGAAGTTCTAAGACTCCCCTTAGGCTCACTGTGTCCCTTGGATCACTGTGCTTGCTTGATAGGCACCTGCTCCTGGCCAAACTGGCACAGTATCCTTTAGTGTTAACACAGGGGCAGGTGCGATGTGAAGGATGTTAGCAGACAGAGGTCAGTGACTGTGAGGTGGCATCCTGCAAGGCACCCAGAAGAGGCAGGCTGGGACTAGGACCACGCTCGGCACACAACACTCGCCAAGGCTGCCTGCCTGTCCCACTGCAGCTGCATCCCCCATGCCTATTGAGCAAGCGCAGTCTCATTCCTACAGCTTGCAATAAGAGCTCAGATTTCTGCCCCTGTTACTGTGTCTGCAGAGTTTCTGGTGGGGAGCTCTTTGACCGGATCCTGGAGCGGGGTGTCTACACGGAGAAGGATGCCAGCCTGGTGATCCAGCAGGTCCTGTCCGCAGTGAAATATCTCCATGAGAATGGCATCGTCCACAGAGACTTAAAGGTGACAAGGCGGGAGTTTTCCATGGGCAACAGACAACCCTTCAGGAAGCAGTGGGGGGTGGTGGTGGGCAATGTGAGTTCTGTACAGTTAGAGGACTGGATTAAGTAACTCCCAGATCTTTTCTGCCTTTATATGCCATAAACAATCAGTGTTAATGTACACCCTGTTTTTTTTTCTGGACCCATGCACCTTATTAGGATAGCAGAATAATCCACATACTTTTTGAGTCCACTCATGGTCAAAATCAA